ACAGGGCCGCAGCTTGCAGCACGGTTACTCGAGTTCATTGACAGCCAGTAACCCCCGACAGCAGCTGAGCCCTCAGCCCACCCCCGTGTGCGGCTGGGGAAGGACAGTGGGCTCTGCAGGGGCTTTGCAGTTTGCCTGTCAGCTCCGGCATGTGAAGATGGGGATTGTGCTGGGGCCTGCTCCCCAGCCGCCTTTCCTGCGGGTTTGATCCCCTCCCAGCCCTCTGGCGTCTGAGTGAGCCCTGCGGGGCTGTGCTCGCTAATGGGGTCAGTCCCAAACTAGCCCCCCTCCTTCGCCCACTACAGCCCTCTCTGCCTCATCAGCTGCCCCCCAGGGCCAGACCCCTCTCAGTCCCTGCCCCAGCCCCCCCCCCCAGACATCTGAGGCAGGGAGGGGAGATCTGAAGGCTTGTGGGGAGGGGACAGAGGCTGATGTGAGGTGGTGGGGGGTGAAGGAGACCACCTCCAAGAGGAAGCTTCACCAGGACCCCCAGCTGGACTCCCAACAGCTCACATGCTTTAAACCCCCTTGAGTAGGGGGTGAGGCTCCATCCCCGTCACCCCTGAATCTCACGCTGAGTTTGGCGAAGAGCTGTCTCAGCTCTGCATGGGAACCCTAAGCCTCCACCTTAGCAGGCAGGGGTCAGGACTCCTGGGTTCTATATCCAGCTCTGCCACTGGTCTGCTGGGTGACTTTGGGCAAGTCTCCGTGTCTCAATTTCCCCAGCTGTAGAAGGGGAAATACCGATGCTTGGTAAACAGACACATGCAGAAGCCATGTGGGCACCTGTCCACAGCCATGGGCACGTTGTTTGTATGACTGTAGTGCCAGGAGCTCCGGGCACGGAGCAGGACTCCATTGTGCTAGGCGCTGTACGAACACAGAATAAAGACAGTCCCTGCCCCCAAAGAGCTTCCAATCTGAGTAATTCAATGGGGAGAAGGATCCTGAGCACCCCTTTTTGAAAGGGACCAGGTACAGTATTTACCGTGACTGGGATACACCCCGGAGCCCCTCTGTCTGGTGAGAGCCTCATTGACTCCAGCAGAGTTTTGCCTGAATAAAGAGCTAGGAACTGAGCCTGCCACCCACTGGAGCCAGAGGCACTACTTGCCTGAGTAAAGGTTGCTCATGGGAGCAAGGATCAGGCCCTGAGAAAGGCCTCAGAATGTTGCCTGCTATTCCCCCCATCTCTGGGTGATGGGGAGAACTCCCAGCTGATGCCAGTCCCTTCCCGTCCGGGCAGGGTGTTGTGGGCTCTGGAGGAGTCAATGCAAACAGCAGGCATGGGGCGGATCCCAGAGATACCCTGCCTGGCCTGGGGAGATGCAGAGTGACCTCATGGTTATGTGTGGGACGTTTAGGGTGACATCGCCATTACGGGATGTGCAGGGTGACAGCATCAGTATAGCAGGGGGTTAAGGGTGACGTCCCATTGCTAGTAAGTGGATGACTACGCCAGCTCATTGTTTCTGGCAGGGCTGGATGAATTCGTTCCACCTAATTCTGAACCCGCCGGAAGGCGCTGGGCGTGGATGTCTGACTCAGGCCATACGGGTTCAGAATAGATTCTGCTTAGGAGACACAGTAGGAAAAGGGAACAGACAGGAGATGGGGAAAAAGTCCTGATGCAATGGAACGGTTTATAGACTGTGCATACAGCCCCCATGTGTGCCAGTGCCAGCAGCTCTGGAGGAGAGAGGGGGCTCTGTCCAGAATGCAGGGCACAGGCTGCGTTAGTCAAGGAGAACGTATGGGGCAGTGCAGTGAGAGTCACGAGACCTGGGCCTTAGTCCTGGCTCTGCCATTGACTCACTGGGTGGCCTCGGGCAAGTCACTTGCCCTCTTTCTGCCTCAGTTTCTCCAACTGTAAAAGGGGGAATAAGGATACTTGGTAAATAGACACACGCAGAAGCCATGTGGACACATGTCCACAGCCATGGGCAAACTTTGGACCCGAAAGGCCAAATTCTAGAACTTCCTAGAGGTCACGGTGGGAGGGTCTGTCTTGGGGAGATGAAGGACTCCCCAGTTTGCCTGCACAGGCTGGAACGTGGATCATTTACAGCTGAAGATCCAGGCACCCTGAGCTTCTGCCCAGATGGGTGCGTTACTGGCTGTAAGAGCTGCATAGAACCCCAGCCAGCTAAGACTAGCCAGGCTGCTTCCGGTCTGGCCAGGGGATGCTCCCTTTGTCTCACCTGGTAGAGGGGATATCGATGAGCCCCACCAGAGTAGCAATTCAAATCTCCTTTCAGATGGAGGGGTTGCACCCACCCCAAATCCAGCCTTGGGTGGGGGACCCCGCCCCAATCTCTGCCCTACCAAGCCCTGGTCCTTCCCCAGCTGCAGTCAACATCCTATAAAACTTGGGACCTGCTAGTAACGTCACCCCCCAAAGCACATCCTATCACCTCTGGCCCCTGTGCAGCTGCACCCAGCCCTGTTCTTTCTGCAGCTGCTGTGACGTTCAGCTCTCTCCTACCGCTACCAAACCCCGGGCTCTAAAAGTGTCTTTCTTCATCCCTCCAGGATCAGCTTCTCTTCTGCCTCCTGGGGCCATCTGATTGGCATCCCATTAATGAGGGGAGCTAATTAAAGGAGACTACCACCTACCGGCTGCCATCAGCCTCCCCCCGGCTCTCTGGGGGCCCCCGAGTTACACACATGAAACGGGGATGCCACCGACGCATGGTTTGGTAGGAGCCGTCCTCAAAGGGCCTGAGGAGTGGGACAGTGGTGGGAGCAGGAAACTAACCCCCCCCCACACACCTACTCCCCTCTCAGCCTGCTCATGCTCTGATCTGACACATCAATCAGGGTCTTTCAAGTGCCATTTAACCCACCCACCGGGATGACACGTCTGTAGCAGCTTCCTACAGAACCAGTCTCTTTGAGGGGATTTGAAGCCCAGAGTGCTCTGTTGTCCCTGAGATTCTGGCCATCTTGGGTCATTACACAGGAGCTGTCCAGGGTGGGCAATTCCATTCTGCCTCCCTAAATCCTGCCCAGCGGTTTCACTGGATTCTCCTTCACTCCTCTCCTCAACTGTTGTGCGGTGTTACTGGGTGCTTTTTAAACAGCTGCTGCATCCCACCTCAGAGGTGGCTGCATTTCAGTGGTGGGTAAATAACCCCTTCAAAGTGCTTTGGGACTGAGGATGAAAGTCACCATATCAGAAAGAGGCTGGAGCCAAGACCTTGGAGGCAAACTCCTCCAAACAGCCAGATTCCACGGCTTGAGCACATCCTTCTGCCATGGGCAGGGAAGGTAGGTACCGGGGAAGAGGTTACTGCAGTTTATACAGCCACAGGAAGTGACACAACTTCCTCCCCTTCAAGTTCCTGTCTAGTGGTTTGCGCTACACTTTCTATCAAGCTACAGCCCCACATGGATGCTCAAAATAGGAGCAGCGGGGAAGGGCCTGTCACTCCACTCCCCACAGATGGGCTGGGTTGGCGCAGAGAAAGACTTGTCGTTGTTATTCATAGTTTGTATTGGCCCAGTCCCGGCCCAGGACCCCACTGTGCGAGGCACTGTACAAACACAGAACAGAAAGACGGTCCCTGCCCAAGGTGGGGGAATCTCCACAGTGCCAGGGGTTTAGCAGAGACTTCCACAAGAGCCATGTGATTGGAACCCCACACAACCCTCTGGAAACATGCCCTCAGGGGGTCATTTAAATATAGATTTAGATATCACAGCTGGAGAGTCAAATTCAGCAACGTTCACCGGCTGTGCATGGATCCTACTGCGCAAGGGCTGGAAGTGTGACGCCTGGCTATGGCATCCTGACCTTGCTGCGCTAAGCGCTCGTAATTTACCTGTATCTCCCCCTTCTCCTGGCCACAAGCACATCCTAGAACTGAAACACGCCAGCACAGACAGCCTCAGCAGCCTTGGAAGAGACTCCACAGCCTCTCCCCCAGGCGGTGCCAGAGATGTCTGGGGCATTGATTTCTGACACCAAGAACCACCAAGGTGGAAAATTATCACCTGTGGGAGCAGGGAACTGATGCTTTCAACACACATCCCTGCCCCAGGACATGGCGAACTCCAAGGATTACAAACTCAGCCATCCCTGATGGGCCCTTGCTCCCCTCCTCACCACCTTCGGCTGGGGGGCGAACGTGTCAGTTGGAGCACTGAAGGGTGGTTCGATCTTGACTTCTGGCTATCTTGGGTGATGGGTGCTAGGATCGGCAACCAGCTCCCATCTCCTCTCCTGTTCCTATTCCAACCCCTCCTTCCTACCCCGCTAGCCCCAGCTCATCAGCCCCGCAACGGCTGCAGAATCCAGGGAGCGCCCTGACCCCACACCCCGCCCCTGGCTGTCCACCGCCTGTAGGAGCCAACTCAAAATCACCGCTCTTATTTTAAACACCCTTGCATGGGCTCGCTCCCATTATTTGTCGTCTTCTTTTTCCTCCCCTCCCACCTCCCTCCTGTCATCCAGTTCTGTCTCTGGTGGGTACTGGCATCTCTTGGATTTCCTTAACGAAGCACTGCACTTGCATTAAACATAGAGAAGAGTTTCCAGGGAATAAGAGACCTAAACCACCATCTAACCAACTTAGAGCCAGAGCCCTTTGTTCTGCAGCACCGGGCTGTCCCCAGGCTCAGCCACAGATGCAGCATAGAACATTAGTTGCAACAAAGCATTGGGTATTTTTTTCTCTCCCTCACATGATCTACCCAATAGGAATACAAGCAACCCTCAGGGGCCTCTATGCTAGCTCATACATGCCACAACAGTTACCAGATTAAAATAAAACAGTGCAAAATGCATATCCTAACAGTCCCTTTGCCACTGCAAGCGCAAGAGCCTTCTCCTCTGCAGCTCCTGTGTCTCCTCAAGATGCTGATTCATGTGATTTCTTTTCAAATCTCTCCCCTCCTGGCTAGATCTCTCCATTCCCTGGCCCCAGGAACACAACTGCCATGAAAGATGCTACACTCACAGGACCACTGTGCCCTCACCAGGGGCTGCCATGCCCTACCTCTCTTTCTCCACCAGGAGCCCTCACGGACGGAGTAGGACAGGTCAACGAACTCGATGTCCACGGCCGAACGCTTGGGCAGGTGCGAGAACCGCTGCGCCTCTGTGATGTGATTCTCCACCTTCTTCAGGTGGGTGGTCAGGAGAGGCGCGTCCTGGGAGCCAGCATTGCACAAGGAGTCCTCCAAGGCGATGGAGACGGAGGTTGGGTCAATCCCCTTCTCAGCCATGGCGCCGCTCTGGAGGAGGACACCACACAGGCTCACCATGGAGACAGACAGTGACCAATTCATCGGAGCTTGTTCTATGCTGAGCAGCCAGAAACTCCTGCCCCTTCCCCGAGGCGCCCCGGCTGGGAAAAAGCTGGGACTGCCCTGGGGTTATTGCTACAGTGCCTCCTGCTGGGATGCAGGGGCTGGAGTCGCTGGGAGCTCCCCTGCAGCCAGCTCCCACCCTACTCCTGCTAGAACAGGGCAGCTTGGCTTGGTTTTGACCAGCTGCCACGTGGCCTCTGCCTCCCCATTAAATGTTGCAGCAGCTATTAGCATCCCTGGACCAGTGGAGATTCCCAAGGGAGCTGCTTGGTGCTGCTGAGTATTCACCCCTTGGGTGTCGGTGTGCACTGGGAAAGAGGTCTTGCCCCATGTGCTTGACACGGATAATAGCCCCTTCATGCCTAACCTGGAGGTGCCGACCCCTTCCAAGGCAGAGGAGAATTCAGGGGCTGATCCCGTTGAAGCTATCCACGATGCTGCTCCCTCGAAGGGCTTTAGCTACAGTCTGGAGGGGAACCTCTCCCCTGCCCCCACACCCCAGTGCTGATGTAGCTCAGCCAGGTCCTGGAGAGCTGGGGGCAGGCAGCCACTGATCAGCTGGGATGTCAATAATTCACGGAGCTCTGGCCATGGCTGGCTCTGCCGGCCGGGCCTAGTTCTCTGGCTGAGGAAGCAGAGCAGGGAGCAGCATGTTGCCCTCTGACCCCCCCTTCTGCTCCCCTACTAGGCTTTCTCCCTCCTCCACACCAAGTGAGCAGGGAGCGAGATCTGCTCCCCATTAGGGTGACCAGACAGCAAGTGTGAAAAATCGGGACAGGGGGTGGGGGGGTAATAGGAGCCTATATAAGAAAAAAGACCCCAAATATCGGGACTGTTCCTATAAAATCGGGACGTCTGGTCACCCTAGTCCCCATCCTGCTGTGACTCACTGGGCAGGGGCAAGGAGAGACTAGAAGGGAAGATGGAGGGAGTCAGAGGAGGGATTCAGGGGCACCCCCTGTAAATCCAGCTCGGATACTTACTCAGGGAGCCCCCCAGGCTTCCAATCTGCTCCTGCCATTGGCGAGGAGCTGCTGATGCCCAAGGGGAAAACCCCCTCCTGTCTGGTAAGGGGGCAGTGGGTTGGGATGACAGACAAAGCCATGGCATCGCAATTCTTGGGGCAAAAGGCTCCTCGCCCCCCCATCCTTCCTGGGTTAAACCAGCCCGACCCCATCCAATCATCTGCCTCACTCCAGTAGGTCCCACAGGATCCTGGGTTGCTCTCAGCAGTCGGAGCAGCTCAGGCAGTGGTGACAAGCAGAGCGCAAGGCCAGTGCTGGGGTAGCAGACCTGCAAGGGAAGAGCTGCCACAGGAGGCGCTCTTTCCTACGAACCAATCGGGCCCCGCATGGTGCTGGGCTGCAGAGGGTGCCCAGGAGAACCTGGCTTTGCTCACGCTCCCCTGGCACTTTTCAGATGAGCAGCAGGTGCCCTCGCCAAAGTCTAACGGGTGTCACCCCAGCAGTAACGGGTACATGAGCCTCCTTTGCTCCCGACCCTGCAGTGCCGTGTTGCTGTGCACTGGGCAGTAGGCGGTGGGCTCCACCCCAGAGCGGGCTGCACAGCGCCAGGGTTCACGGTGGGGCTAGTCCAGGGAAATGGGGGACACTGTTATGACTGCCCAGGCCCCTGCACCTGGCGGGAGGGAGCCCGAAATGGGGCAGGCCTGCGGGGGCCCTGCTGCTGGGGGAAGGGGGGAGCTGAGCCTGCAGACGAGCAGCCTGGGCCCCTCGCCCCCCCCCCCACGCGTGGGGCACTAATGCCTCCTTAACCTACATTTCCCTGGGCTGCAGCCTTCAGCCACCTCCTGGCTGGAGCTGCGGGTCCGGCCGGGGAATCCGGGCAGCGCATCCTTGGCTGGGCCGCTCCCCGATGCAGGCAGAGCCCTTGCAGGGCTGGCAAAGCGCCAACCCCCACCCCCCACACACCACCCATTGGGCGAAGGGCTCTTGGCTCGCCGGCCCTAGCGCCCCGACATGCCCAGGCGCCCCCTCCTCGCCCGGGTGGGGGGACTGCCGGAGCTAGAGGGGCCAAGGCAAAGTTTGGGCCAGCCGGAGCCCTCGGGGGTCACCTTGACGCCTCCCGCGGCTCCTCGCAGGGACCGAGGACCCCCCCCCCCCCCCCCCCCCCC